TTTCTTGGGATATGACTAATTGATTTATTACTTTTAATATGATATATCCCACCTGTTCTTCAAACAGTACTCACGGCTACTATTCAATTTTTAAAATGGAGTTATTGGATAAGACCCGAATACGGTCAGCGGTAAATCTGAAATGGGTGCTGATTTTGTCAATTATTAATTGAACCGTTAATTTTCACTGATTTAAGAATAACTCGGATCAAATTTTAATATAAGTATCAAACCTATTGGTTAAAGTTCGCTGAAAAACAGTCAATATATATTTTGTTTTATAAAAAGACTTATCCGTTAAAATGTTAGTTTAAATAACATTTCCGATACTTATTTTATTTTATAAAATTTAACATTACTTTAATTATTGTATAAAAAAAAATACAGCAATTTTTTATAACGAACGGACAGTTCTGAGAAAAAAAAATTCGTTGTAGAAAATTGCTGTTTTATTAAGAGTTTATAGTACTTTTATAATAATTCGTCATATAGTTTTTAAATTTTTTTCGTAAACAATGATACTTTTTTAAAATAGTAAATTATTGGCCAATTGCAAATTTACAAATGATCTTAGTTCATAAATGAGTTACGAATAACAAATACAGTAAAAACCTCACTAAATGCACGTCCTCAGGACCTGTATTCAACGACATGCGCTTATAGAAAGTGTATTTATGAGGTCATATATACATTTGGACCAGAATATGGATGTGTATTTATAGAGGGTGCAGTGTTGGAAATCTTATGTTCTCATCCTTTTAGATTTGAGAACATTTGATATTCTAAATATGTTCTCTATGAAAAAAAATCTGAGAACATGATGCTGAAAAACCATGTTCTTTAAGTTAGCAAAATTTCAGATAGAAATAGAACTTCCGAATTTATCCGAAAGGAAAATGAACGAACATAATATACGAGAAGGGTTGGGAAAAATTAGAACAAATGTCCGATATTTAAATAGGGATACTAATAAATTTTAGAGATTAATGTTGAGAACATAAATAAAATCTATCGTCTAAATTATTTTGCCACCTGCTAGAAAAAAAGGAAGGTTTTAGTTTTGAAAAAATGCAACGAAAGCATTGCACGCATGTGATATATATTATTACGTTTTTGGAATACATCTGGCTAATAACGCCAGATATTAACTTTATCGATAAACAGAGACGTCAATGTTCCCAGAAATAGCAAATATAACTGCGCCGGGTATTGCCGTCCGGCTGAAATCGCGATGCATAGCATCAGACGGCGGCAGGGATGGAAAAAAACGGTTTAAACGTTTTAAACAGTTTTTTAGATGTTTTAAAACTTTTTAAAACTTTTTAAAACATTGGCGCTGAGACTAAAATGCCGATTCACCAATTTCATAGAGATAACTTTAAAGAAAAATATTCACTTTATAAACTTTGCTTATTATACAATTACAAGAAATGCGCAATTGCTTAACTATTTATATATAGGTTTTTTTTTTTAAATTCTGATAGACTGCACCAAGTTTTTTTACCCGTTCATTATTTAATAAATTATTCATCCTTTGGATGCTTTTTTCTATATAAGTGATCCTTTAATCAAGCGACTAAATCCAAAAAAGGCCTCTCCACGGTAGTTACACTTTTGGCAAGGCGCAGTTTCCATAATTTTTGTAAAGTTCTTTTATGGAGGCCTTCCACGGAGCATGATTGTCTATAATTTTATATTTTAAAAAAGAGATAACGATAGTATTTTGACGATTAATTAAATAAATAAATACTATCCCATTGTTACGTATTATGATTACGTCGGAATGTATTAAATCATTTAAAAACAGTTTTAAATCAAACAATCATGTTTTAAAACATTTTCCATCCCTAGCCGGCGGTTTCCCACACTGCATAAAGCAGGCCAGCCTATATTATTATTCAGATGCATCTGGCTAGCAGCACCAGACATTAAGTTGAATTCGCGATGCGTAACAACAGCTGGTGGTTTCCCACACTGCATAAAGCAGACCAACTTTGATAGGAGGTTTAAACTACCACGAAAAATTCGCAAGAATAAGTTTCTATGTGGATTCTATGTAAATTCACATGGATGGAAGGGTTTGGGTGCGAATTTTCCTTCTAGCGGATATGTCTGCGGGTCTGCTTGTGGCGTACGTCTTCTTATACTTGCCCTGACAATGAAGATATTGTTAGTATTCAATTGCGATTATAAATTAGTCAACTATTAATTTTTTCATGTGCCTCCTCACTTCCGTATTTGTCTAATTCTTTAAGTCGTCACTCGCCTTCCATAATTGTACGTACCATCATAGTCATGTTAATCTTACCTTAGTAGTATTAGGTATTATAATATATTGTTGGAGGCTTAGTTCATGCAACCGCGAATACGCGGTGGTTACCGTGAGTGCGCTGTGGTTACCGCGAATACGTGGAAGCTACCGCGAGTGCGCTGTGGTTACCGTGAATACGTGGAAGCTACCACGAGTACGCTGTAGTCGTTATGATCACGCTCTAAAAAATTATCATGTATAAAAGTGCTTGCTCTCAGCCTTAGTTGAGGGAGAAGACGCTCTCCAAAATTCCTCTCCTAAATAAAGTTAACATAAGTTCACATTCTTTTTTATCATAAATGCCTAATAAATCATGAATATCCGAATATCTAATTAATTGCCCAAATCATGTGACCCTTTTAACGTCAACCATCGGAGTTAAATTCGGCATGACAAAACAAAGCTCTCCCTTACGATGGTTACACTACATCTTACAAATTTATCTGTGCCAGTATGTTTTAATTCATTATTTGTGTTATTTCATGAGTACTATGGCTTTTTGCGATGCTATTTCGCGTTGTTCAGAAAAGATGAACGATCTCTAGATAAATTATGAATTTTTATTTAATGAAAATACTCTTTTTTTAAAAAAAAATTACAATTCCCTTATAAACTTCACAAAATAGGACGAACAGTGGCTATTTATGTTGTACTCACGGGCAAGACCAATAATTTTCTGCGATCACGAAAAATCACGAAGGTTCAGATCATTTTAAATCATGGCCCGGATTTAGGATCCAAAGTCATCATAATGCTTGCTAACATTAATTGCGGATTATAATGCTGGCCAAAAAAAATTATATATATATATCATCGATCTAACTGAATCGAAGAATTTTTTTTTTTCTTTTAGTGAGAGCACTAGAGTTCGTCTTTTTGAGTACAGGGTTTCGTCATTTTAAGTTTTAAGGCGCCAGCATGCGAAAAGGTTTCGTCTTTCATCATCATGTGAAATAAGTTTTGTCTAACCTATCCTAATCCCACCTTGTTCATAATAGAAAATTTTTAAAATAATCGAAAAAATAAAAAACGAATGAAATTACAATACCGCACGAGTAATAAATTAATATTATGAAACATTTCATTTTATATATACCGGTATATATATTATTTTTTAGCATATTTGTCACAACTGATTTCGAGAAGCAGCCAACCAAGCATCAATAGCTTATTCCTTTCAATAACTTTATAATAAACTATTCGCCCAAATATGTTGTAACTGATAACCTCTCATTATTGACAGAGCCAAAGAATATTTATACGTATAAAAATATCCAACTATGTATACTGTTTATTAGATATTATCCCGGGAGGTTATAAAAATTTTGAATGAACCAAGATTTGAACAGAGAAAACTTTCATATCTAATGCCTTTCTTCATCTAAGTAAATGTTTTATTATTAGGCCACGCAAAGTTAATTTTTAGTTTTGCATAATCCGCCGACCCAATTTTTCAATTTTTTTTTTTTTTTTAAAAAAAAATTAACTTGCGTGGCCTTAAATGAGCATGAATCTATTAATTTGAAGTAAAAAAAAACCGACCCGCCGACTGGAATTTCGGAACACCAGGTTATGCAAAACGAAAAATTAACTTTGTGTGGCCTTACAGAAAGTTTTTTCAAAAAAATTGTAATTTTTTTTTTAACGTTTTTAAAATTTGATTGGTATCTCATGGAAAACGTGATGGTTTGTAAAAGAAAAAATGTGTGCTAATATATTTTAATTCAATATATAGCATGTTGTAAATGTGACAATTCAAGTGTGGGGAACTTTTTTATCTGAATGTCCGGATAATTCGAAATCCACTAATTGAACCCTTTATGAACCTCTGAGACCATGTAGACTTTATGAATTTCTTGTCATCTGGCATGATTTGATGTATCGGCAGGATAATAGCAAAAGCACGTGGCCGAAGGCCTCGTGCGTTGCAATTATACTGTGATTCGTATATTATGCCAGTTAACTAGTTTGTCTGGCAGGTATGACGTATACACTTACGGAAAGAATTTTATATTACTTCCGCAGATTTTTATATTAAATTTGGCAAGAATTTGTCACATGATTTTAATAAAAATTTGCGGAAATAATGTAAAAAATTTTCCGTCAGTGTTTACATAGTACCTGCCGGATAAACATCTTCATTCCATAAAGCTTAGTGACTCTACGAAATAAAAAAAAAAGTTTATTCGAATTGGGTTATTAGATAACCAGCAGTTTTAAATTTCATTTATAAAATTTATGTAGTCCCGGAGGCTTATTTTTCTAGCAAAAAATCGCAATTTCCCATTTACAAATAATAAATTTGGGTTTATCAAGTTATCCGATAATAAGACCATGCTTTACAGGTGTAATTCTTATTTGAATTTCGGCGGTAATTTTCTAATGACTTTTCGGAATTTACTAATTTCCTCCACCACTTCTGATTGGTTCTAACATATCGGAATATCTGCTATTAATCAATTTTATAGTACTCCGGGAGTTATAGGGTTATTGTTTAGAGAAATATCGGTGTAACGGATGAAACCATGTTTGTAATAAACTTTACGTAAAACTGCGTACGTATGTACTGTACGTACTTACCAGTTACTATTTAATTAGGTGTGACAAGTTGTCATTGTTTCCATATCGAATCGATACAAAAAATTACGTATATATATATATCAATACATGAACATCTTTCATATCAAAGATGTCACGACCGAAAGCCCATGGTGTGGTCGATGAGACCTTTCCATTTATTTTTAGCCAGCATAAAAAACCCATTCACAATTATAAAACTTATATTCCAAATCCAACCGATGTTCCTCCAACCTACCATGAATCACAAACTGAACAATCCCTTAACCGAAAAACTCTAAAAATTCCAATCGTTATAATTATTTCTATCCTCTTGGCTTCGATAATTTTATTTTTTAATTATTATACAGATTATGACGATGTTACGAGAATCCCTAAAAGTTACCAATTGTGCAGAGATAATTACGATAGTTTTGATTACAATATCGAATCTTCTTTTTTTGCTTCAAAAAGCAATGAACTAACTGCGACTCAAGATATAAAGATTGTTAATGATGGTAACTTATCCTCATCAAACATTACCTACCCACATAAGACTCGTGCAATTATTAATCAAATTGATAAACGGCTTGGAGAATATCAAGTTCAAGAATTTTTTTATAAAAACGATAGTATAGCTTTTTATAATTCACCAATAACATCAGTTTCTTACATTGAAAGCACTTGGCCTATAATAGTTGAAATTTCCTTTACGACAAAAAAAAGTCTTGAAAAAGCAGCTATAGAAGCTTGTAATTTTAGGATTATTTTTGATAAAAAAGGTTTCTTTAAAGATTTTGATGGGTACATTGAACGAAAATGCAATAGAGCTTGGGAACATTCTTTTTATTTGGTCTCTCAGGTTGAAGGAAATACTGATTCGGGTTTGAAATTTTTCCATGGTAAAGATGTATTTGCGACAATTTCTAACAAACTACTCAATAGAGAATTAAGGTAAATATTAGTTTCGTTTTTAATATGTATTTTATACATTTAATCCATTTTATTAAATTTTATAATGTTTATTAGAGATGTTCTGGTGCATGATAGAACTCCATTTCCATCACTTATTCCTACTTTATACGCTATTTATTATGACTATTTTAAGATGAAACGTCATGCACGCGACATAACAAGAATTCCTAATAATTATCAATTGCTAAGAGATGAATGGAATACATATAATTACATAATTCAATCGACATCATTAATTTCTTCTAATGAAATTAATAGCACTATTCAAAACTTACCCTCTATTAGAGCTACTATAAAAGCAATTGAGTATCCATCAGGAAAATATTATGTCCAAGAATTTTTTTATGAATCTTACATCAAGGATTATTCATCTATAACAACGAACTCCGTAATTCAATACAAATGGCCTGCAATTGTAGAAATTTATTTCACCAGTTCAGTTGATCTTTTAGACCCATATTCTTTAGAAATTTGTAATTTCAAATTTGCTTTTTTTAAAGAAGGCTATGATAAAGAAATTGAAGGTCAGGTAGAACGTAGATGTCCTAGAGCTTTCGAATCTAGCTTTTATCTGGTTTCAAATGTTGAAGGAAATAGTGATTTAGGATTTAAGTTTTCCAATAATGGAAGCGAATTTGCAACTATTTCACCAAAATCACCATACAAAGAAAAAAGGCGAGTATTATTATACGTAGTGAATATATTATATCGATCACTTTTAATAACATATGTATAATTAAATATAAGCAACTTCTTGTACGATTGTTGTTATTTTAAAATGTATTTTACGACTTTTCTAATAGATTTCATCTTTTTTTTTTTTAGGGATGTTGTAGTTGAAGATGAACCACCATTTCCATCGCTTATTCCTACTTTGTACGCTATTTATTATGATTACTTCAAGATGAAACGTCAAGCGCGAGATATAACTAGAATCCCTAATAATTATCAACTGATGAGAGATAAATTGCATATAAATAATTATGTAATTCAATCAGATTCATTCATTTCTCCTTATAATACGCCAGATGACCCTTCGACCACTACTAGGGCTATAATAAATGCAATTAAATATCCATCAGGAAAATATTCTGTTCGAGAATATTTTTATGAAGTTGGTGCTAAAGATTATTCACATACATTAATAACAACAAACTCAAAAATTCAAGATCAATGGCCTGCAATTGTAGAAATCGATTTTACCAGTTTAGGAAAAGCCCTGGATCCATATGCTTTGGAAGTTTGTAATTTCAGACTTGCTTTTTTCAAAGAGGACTATAATGAAGATTTTAAGGGTCATATAGAACGTAGATGTCCAAAAGCACTTGAATCTGACTTTTATTTGGTTTCAATGGTTGAAGGGAATAGTGACGAAGGGTTTAAATTTTTCCAAGAGGGAAATGAAGTTGCAACTGTTTCATCAAAAGAACAATACAGAGAAAAAAGGTATGTATATATTGCGAGCACCTTGTATAATTTTGTTATCAAAATTCTTATTATGCTAGTGATTGGATCTGGTACCGTTAGAGTTATTCTAATAGATTCATAGATAACTAAAATTACCAGATCCAATTACTTGATCCTAACCAAATTTTAACCGCAAAAATTACAAGGGATTGATTATATTTATTTGTATTAATTAATATAATTTCTTTTCATATTTATAATATTTATAATGATTTCTCTTTTATTTTATATAGAGACATTGTTGTTAATGATAATTCACCATTCGTATCACTTATACCTGGATTATATACAATTTATTACGATTACTTGAAACGAAAAAGTCACGCACAGGATATCACAAGAATTCCAAAAATATATCAATTACGTTGGAATAGCTGGTATTTGTACGATTACAATTATGTTATTGAATCAAAAGTTTATACCCATTTTGCTATATCGGATATAAATGAATTGAATACAACCAATAATAACAATATCTCGACAAATGATGAAAATCCACTCACTATCCGAGCTACTCTTAATGCAGCTCAATATACATCAGGATATTATGAAGTCAAAGAATTTTTTTATAAACTAGGATCCCAAGATTATTTTGATACTTTAATAACTGCGAAAGCAACTATACAAAGTTTATTACCTGGAATCGTTGAAATTTCTTTTATTACTTCTGATAAAGTTTTAGATCCATACGCTTTGGAAGCTTGTGAATATAAACTTATTTACTTTGAAAACTTTGAAGGTCAAATTGAACGTAGATGTAAAAGAGCTTTTGAAGATGATTTTTATATGGTTTCACAAGTTAGCGGAAGTACATATCGGGGTTTACAATTTACTCTTGGTGAAGATAAATCAAAATTGTCTGCATCGACTTCTGCAGTTGATTATTGGCCAAGTCTGCGAAGAAGGTGAGAAACTTATCATATTTTACAATATTTTTTTTTAAAATTTGATATTGATTTTCGTTCTTGTATTAGGGATGTAATGGTCTATGATGATACACCATTTCCGTCTATTATTCCTGCTTTATATTCTGTTTATTACGATTATGTGGCTAAAAATAGATAGATATTAATCTGTCAAACAATGAAACCCCACCATTTTTATGTGTTATGTGTTATGGTAAATTAAATAAATTGGTAACTTCGGAATTAAATTACTACAGAATAATGATGTTTTGATGTTTTGGTTAACTATCGACTAAACAAAGCTCTGGTTATAACAACAGACATTAATAAAAAAAAATTTGGTTTAAAATATTCATGTTATAACAACATAATATACACATGCTACAAATTACAAATGCTGATTACATTACATAAGGCCGTTAAAATTATAAAATTTTTTTTAAACGTTCCTTTATGGAGTAGGGGAAGGAAGGGGAAATACTACATTACAAAAATAATCCTATTATTATTGGCTAGCCTGCAACTACGTGACTTATTGAAATCTCAAAACGGACCCTTGGAAGGGGAACGTTAAATACGTAATATTGTACTTTCAAACCGCCTAACATTAAAATAAACATACAATTAATAACCAAAATTAAGATTAAAGCTGTTGTAGATCTCTATGTGTTTTTGAGCATTGAAGTATTATTAGTAGCATCATGCTACGTAAATGTTGTTTATCATTGTATAATTTTAGCTAGAGTAGTTTAGAAAAATATCTGTTGTATGTTTTTTTTTTTTAACAATATACAGTCAACCCTCTCTAAATGCATAGTGTCGGGACCATAGTCAAAATTTTCAAAAACATGCATTTAGAGAGGTTATGCATTCAGAGAGATAAAAATCTATAAGTGTTATATTAAGTTGGGTCATGAGTTGCTAAAAAATAATGTCCTTTTTATTTTGTCAAGCTAATTTATATTATATGATCACTTAAAAATTTAAAAATTAACTAATAAAAATAAATCTTTATAATATTAGTAACTAATTATTAATTTTTTTATAACTCGAAAGGTCCCATCATTAAACATGCATTAATCCACCTGTATTGAACAGGTATACGTATGTACGCCAAAAAACAGAATAAGCCAACTTATTGATTTTCAGCGGGGATTGATACGTACAGTACAATGATATTACCAAGAAAATAAAATCATTACAAAATTTTATCCTATGTTTATTACAATATTTATAGCTATGACATTGGACAATAACCATTATTAAGGGTTTCCAGCTTAATCTATATCATTAAAATGGAATATCCACACGAAGAGAGTTATACGTTTATTTCTAGTCAGAGTAAACAAAGAAACCGCAATTATTGAATTCATGATCTTGATTCTAAACAGGAAGCTCCCGATTTACAAGCTTACGAACAAAAAATGATCGATATCGACCACATCAAACTAAACCGAATAGTTCCAATCGCAACAAGTATTTGGTCCCTAGTCAGCATAAACAAAGAACTGCATTTATAGAGCTCATGATCTTGATTATAACGATAACCTGCAGGACGCTCTCGACCTACAAATTCACGAAAATTTACCACAAAATAATCGATACCAAACATATCAAACATTAAACCGAATAATTCCAATCGCATCGAGTTTTTTGGCCTTAATAGTCATTTGTTATCTTGCCATATGCGATGATAATGTTACAAGAATTCAAATGTTGTCAATTGTACAGAAATAATGACGATACATTTGATTACATTGTCGAATCATCCATCCTTCTATCTTCTACTATTCAGGATATAAGACTTGTTAACGACTCTTTAGTTCAAAACTTTGACCCGAATTTAAACGCGCCCATATTAAACGTCACATTTCACGTGTGACTAATGCGGTAATCAACTCAATTAATAACTGGCCTAGAGGATATAATTCACCACTAACAACAATTTCTTATATTAAAATATGTGGCTGTAATAGTTGATATTCCTTTTAAACCTTTAGGAAAAAGCCTTTTAAATATATTATAAAAATTATCAGGCAAATTTAAATACAAAATAGCAATTACTTTTTATTATTACATTCACCTAAGCAGTTAGAATACGAGTTTAGGGCTTAAACTTTGATGCTAATATTTTACAACAATAAAAATAATTGAATTGGTTTTAACAGAAAGTTTTTATTCCCAAAAATAACACCTCTCGTCATAAAATTTTAGGATATATATAAAAAAAAGCTCGTTGAAGGAGAGTCTCCTGTATTTTGATTTTCTGTCAGGTTTCGTCAATCGTCTGAAGGTTGGTCGAGGTTTTGTAAAGACGAATACGTGGCGAAACCGTTTCATCATTGCAAAAATAGTCTTTTTAGACGCGAGTTAATGGCACATGACGAAGCCTTTCATTGAGCAATTCTTGAGTGATTAAATTGACGAACGAATGATTAATTTAAAATATGTTAGGAATTAGTTCATGCTCTGTTAATTTTTTGTTTGTACAGTATTATTCTATCTATCCACATGAATTTTCTTAGAAACACTTATCTGATATTACGTGATGTCAGAAGATGAAACTAATAAAACTACCAGCTTCAGATTTCATATAAGACTAAAAAATTAACTATCGAATGAACTTGTTTTAACTTTTTTTGTAATGAATTGATGACCAGTAAAAAAAAATAAACTAAAATGATAAATATAAAAATACCATGTTAATTTTTTTGATCGAGCAGATCGAACTTTGAGATTTAAAGCTATGGAGATTAATAAATTCAAAAATATTGTTATCATCAATAAATTAAGTTATCTGAACATCCTTTCAAAGAAATATCTTGGAAAATTTTATATTTATTTATTTTATTTTGTATAAATATAAGTTTAGCTCTGAAAATTATACTACGCTTTTGAATATTTAGTCGTGCAAATTAACAATATAATTTAATATTTTTATTACAAGCATTTTTTAACATAGTTTTAATTTCAGAATCAAATTGATCATTTGTAAGATATAAATAAGTTAAAGTTGTATTTTCGCAAAGGGCTTTTGCCATCGCTTTTCCTACTTCCGTATCAAATTGATTTTCACTGATATCCAAAGTTGTCAGTGTAGTGTTTTTGCATAAAACTTCAGCAAACAGCTTCCCTTCTTCTGAACCAAATTGATTATTTTCAAGATCCAAAGAAATTAAAGTATTATTTTTATAAAGAGCCTCAGCTAGTGCTTTACCCCCTTCTGAACCAAGCTGATTTTTTGAAAGATCTAAAGAAGTCAAAGTGGTATTTTTACAAAGAACCTCAGCTAATGCTTTCCCTCCTTCTGGACCAAACTGATTATCTCCAAAGCACAATTTAGTCAAGGAGGTGTTTTTGCGTAGAACATTTGCTAACATTATTCCAACGACCGGTTCAAGTTGATTATTATAAAGATTCAAATAAGTTAGAGAAGCATTTTTGAAGAGAGCTTCTGCAATAGCTTTTCCTCCTTCTAGACCAAGTTGGTTATGTGAAAGATCCAAAGAAGTCAAGGTGGAGTTCTTGCAAAGAACCTCAGCCAATGCTTTTCCTCCTTCTGAATCAAGTTCGTTACTTTCAAGGCTCAGAAAAGTCAGAGCAGTGTTTTTGTAAAGCGCATATGCCAATACTTTTACTCCTTGTAAACCAATTTCATTATATCCAATATCCAAATAAGTCAATGTAGTATTTTTGCAAAGTGCTTCTGCTAAAGCTTTTCCACCTTCCGGACCAAGCTCATTAGAATAAAGGTCCAAATAAGTCAGGGTGGTGTTTTTGCAAAGAACATCTGCAAATGCTTTTTCTCCTTCAACATTTAGGTAATTATTTGAAAGATTTAATGAAGTTAAACTGGTGTTACTTAAAAGTGCATTTGCCAATGCTTTTCCTTCCTCGAAACAAAGTTTATTAACAGAAAGGTCCAAAAAAGTTAGTGTAGTGTTTTTGCAAAGAGCTTCCGCCAACGCTTTCCCTCCTAAACCAAGTTCATTTCCTTCAAGGTTCAAATGAGTTAGGTTTTCATTCTTGTATAGAACTTCTGCTAATGCTTTTCCTCCTTCCGGACCAAGTTGATTGCTTCTAAGTTCCAAAGAAGTTATGGTGGTATCTTTCCAAAGAACCTCCACTAGTTCGTTAATTTTTTTGTTAGGACCAACATTTTTACAAGAGAGATCCCAGCTTGAAGCTTTTTCTCGACTTTTAATATTATTTTCACATTTATTTAAAGACGAATCATGATCAAAGATGTCAATTTCGTTATTTTGAACCGATTCAATAAGATGACTTAAAATCTCATGGATTAACTTTGTTTCTGGACGAACGGATGGGATTTCATTCCAACATTGCTTATAAAGTTCAACGTATTGTAATGGTGTGCCTTCTATAGGTTCCTCCATAATTCCTTGAATTGCTTGAAAATAAAGCAATTTAGATTCAGAGGATTCGTATGGCGACCTGCCACTTGAAATTTCCCAGAGAATTACTCCGAGGCTATATATATCTGATTTTTTATTGCGTTTAAATTTAGGAACAAAAAGACATTCGGGCTCTATGTAAGCCAACATTCTATGAATAGTTGAGTTTGAACTCAATGATGCCTCGTCTATTTGTTTTGTTAACCCAAAATCTGTAATCTTTATTTGTCCTTGATGGATTAAGATATTTTTTGAATGCTATATAAAATCAAAAATAATTGATATCTTATCATAGGCATTAACTAAATTATATAAATATTATATTACTTACTAAATTCCGGTGAACAATACTATTGTCATGTAAAAATAAGAGACCATTCACTATTTCCTTTGCAATATTTAATTTATCAATCCACTGTAATCTTACGAAATTTTTCCTTAAATATTCTTGCAAGTTCCCATCGCTTGCAAATTGTAAAATCATGTTGTAATGCCCTTGATAATCTGTTTATAATAAAACCATTTTAAAAAAAATTTCTTTAATTTAAACAATTTAATTCTTCAAAAGCAAAAAATATACACCTTTTGTAAATCCGCAGAATTCAATAATATTTGGATGGTTGGTTTTTTGTAATAATTTAAGCTTTTATTAAAAATATAGTTTATGATTTAAGTATTAGGGAATAAATTTCAAAACCAATAAATGAAAGAAATAAACTAATACATACCTTATAGATAAATTCATTAATAATCTTCTTATTTATATCTTTATCCACTTTAAAGCGTTTAAGGACCACTTTTAATTCATTACCGTTACCTTTCCAATCATATCTATATACAGTTCCAAAACCTCCATCACCAATCTTAACACTATTAGTAAAATGGTTATATTCAAACTCACTAATATGTTTATCAATAATAGCTTTCTCGAGCAACTTGTCAGCCATAATTTGTAAGAGATGCATAAAAATAATACGTAGTAGTAGTGGTCTCACAATAAATACGTACGTACGTACGTTGTGAAGGGTAACCTGATCCAGCCGCAGCAAAAAAACGTGATCTAAGCCGGGACCTTAATGCGCAGGAATTAATAAATGCCAATTCGGGTTTGGCTTGAGGCGAAACTCCATTGAAGAACAATAGTAAAGCGCCTCTATGGTGGGAACTAAAGTCATAGTCATGTGAATGAGTATGAATTACTCATCGTTAGTCATATTCCCCGACACTCTAAATAATCATATTGCTTAGAGATTCTAATCGTAGTAGCAAAGCCCAAAGCTCTCTGTAATGTATAAATAACCATCTAATTCATGTATCTGAAAAGTAGAATAGTGAGCGTTATGATAAAATGAAGACCATCTAATGATAAACTCCGGGATCCTAGTGGCAGTAGGATCCTTGGTTCTCGGACCAAATCTTCTACGCCTTCTTTCGATTAGCCTTTGACTTTTTTTTGTGTTTTAGGTTGCGAGTACTAGTCACCACAATTCACCCTTTTACAACATGCGCATAAGGGTATGTGATTTAGAGATAGTCCGCAGTTGAAGGTTCATAGTAAAATCGGCGCAGTATTACTATAATAATTACAGTATCTATTTTCGAAACGTTCGTTCTTATATGAAAAAAAATTCAGTTCTCAAAGAGTTACTATATAAAATCACAAATGTTCTAGAGCTTTGTGTTCGGTTTTCGCAGAGTTTAAGGGTTTGAATTATCCAGGTCGGATTAGAGAGAGGCAATTGTATTTGCCGATCATAAGAAAAACCCTACAGTAAAAAATCAATATATACTTATATTTTGTGATTTATCCAACCAATTTTGATATTTTATTATCATTAGAATAGAAAAGCAGCTCTACAACTTTTATTATAAGTCTAAAGATTACTTAATAAAAAAATAGTGCTAAATGTAGCAAAGCCCCATTTTTGCATAATATAAAAAGTACTTTAAATTCCGGTTTTGTTTATTATACGTACGTAAAATTTCGCGATTTACCCCTTAAATGTTATCATTAAAAACCCACCTAACAATAATACCCTAATTTTGTTCACCCCAATATCCTGCCATTGGACAATGTGAGGCGTTTGGATGGGAGTATTGTGAGGTAATGAACGCCTTAAAGTGGTTGCGTGAATACCTCAAGATAAACGGGAATATGAAAGAAATGTTCTAGACAAAGTAAAAAAGAAAATTTTGCCTCCCCGATAAAATTGATAAAAAAAAAAGCATTAATTCAATGACTTCACTTAATTTTTAACTAACAATATTATTTGGGTCTAATAGCAAATATAAGCCACCGAGGACATCACAATGGGATGTGCGATTATACTATGTAAATCAAAGTTATATGTGTTTGCTGCATTAAATTTTATACTTTGAAATTTAATTTTATCTTTATATATGAAATGTCACCAAAAGAAAAACTTTAATACAACAGAATGCAAGCTTTCAAAATTTATCATTTATCTTTATATCTAGTACATGTGATCAAAAGAATTTAAGCTTTGATTGACATTAAATTACTTATATTTGATTATTTGATTCTATTAATTTTATTAGCTTTATTTGTTTTATACATTTCTTTATTAATGTCATCATCTCATCATCTTTTATCAACTTTGTCACTTTTCGTCAGTTTCGTCACCTTTTATCAGTCTCGTCAATTTCATCATTTCAAAATTTTTTGACGAAAGACGACAACTAGCTTCGTCTTTCGTTTGTGAAGAAGCCTATAGGTTTCGTCTAACGACACTAGTTGCAATGACTGAGCAACACCTTGAAATTACATCAAGGGAGCTGCTTGAGGATAGAGTTCCAGGCATCTAAACTCTATTTCTAACAAATTTCTACAAACAGCTAGTTATATTGTTTTTGTGCTAAGATGCGAAATTTGCTATTCGTGCAATAATTATAAGACTTTCCTTTTGTTTGTGAACAATTAAATCAGTCAGATTCCAATGCTCAAGTTGCTAGTTATGTTAATAAATCGTTAAATATATATATCTGTTTTTCATCAATTAAGCGTTAATGTTTTTAGGAGAAGGGAGTCACAGTTTGTGAAAAAATTATACTAGAGTTCAAAAATCGAGAATGAGCCCTGTTCACATATGATTGCTAATTTCTAGCTCGCTACTTTTGCTTGCTATTTTTGTTAGCTATTTCGACTATTAATAGCTAGGCAGTCTGCTTGAGGCTGCCCTTATAACAATCAATTATTAATCAATGCGTTTAAGGCAAACACTAAAATCCACGATTTAATTCGTTTGTATCATTATTGCTGAAAGTGTGTTTGCGACAGTTTCTAACAAATCGCTTAATAGAAAGATAAGGTATATTTTAGTATAATATCTTTTGTACTTTAGTCAAGTCTATTGATTTCTAATAGATTAATCATTTTTTATTAGATATGTTTTTGTTGAAGATGAAACACCATTTCCATCACTTATTTCTACTTTATATGCTATTTATTATGACTACTTTAAATGAAATGCCAAGTGCGAGGTACAACCAGAATTCCTAATTCTTACCATCGTTGAGGGATAATTGAATATGAGTAATATCGGGCTTTCAATTATATTTGTGTCTAAAGCTTTGATCGAAGTTACTACTGCGCCAAATTCGATGAAAATTTAAATTCCACATATCTATAGAGCAAAAATACCATTCTTGATAGGTATATAGGAAAAAATCGATTTACATACTGTTCTTGATAGGGTTCTAAAAAAGGGTATCTAAGATACTATACTACTATATCAAAAATATATATAGAAAAAAATTAGGGTTCGTTTTTAGAACCCTATCAGGAACAGTACTCAATTTTTTTTTAATTCCATCAATAACAGTAGGCCGATCCATCAAGAATAGTAATTTTGCATCTATAGAATTCGAATAAAAAAATTTTCATCGAATTTGGTGCAGTAGTCATCGAGATAACTTCGATCAAAGCTTGATGGGTTTCTCTTGACTCATATAATTCAATCAACATCGTCATCCATTATTTGAGCTATAATAAAAGTAGATGAATATCCCATCGGGAAAATATTATGTTCAAGAATTTTTTTATGAAACTCAAAGGATTATTCATATACATCAAGAGAATCGGCCTGTAATTGTAGAAATCTATTTCACCAGTTCAAATAAAATGTAGATGTCCCAGACACAGAGAGCAGCGATTTAGAGTTTAAGTTTTCCAAAATGGAATGAACTTGCAACAGTTCCACCAAAGGCGCAATACAAAGAAAAAAGGTCACATTATCGATAAGCAACACGTACAATTTTATATCAAAATTCCATTGGTAAAGTAATTCCTGTCTAAATTTTGAAAATGACAAAAAACTTCAGCACAAGAGATTTGGGCATATTTTAAACGTTAATATGATAACATCATTATTATTTTGCATCATCAGAAAATTGTACAGGAATTGCTTAGTTACAGTACTTGTGTCGACTAAGTATACAATATTGGGCAAATTGTCGAATAACGGTAATTTGGCAAATGAGCGCGTGCCGCTTTGCGGCACGTGTACCAATCATTTGTCAAATTACCGTATTCGACAATTTGCCCAATATTGGTGTTATCCGGCAATTTATGATCATGATTGGTAGGGAGTCGCTCGCTGAGTTTTATTTTTTGAATATTGGAATAACATAATTATATCGTAACACATAAAAAAAATAACAAGAAGAAATTTTTTCATGATCATATGAGTTTGCCGGATAACATCAATATAATTTCCTTTTTATAGAGATATTGTCATTAATGACAATACACCATTCACTTATATGAAACGAGAAAGTCACAAGATATCACAAAAATTCCCAAAAATATATCAATTACGATGGAATAGTTGGCTTTGGTATGATTACAATGACAGGTTACCATATCAAATAATAACAATAGCTTTTCCACACAAGCGATAATTCACTTACCGTCCGAGCTATTATTAATGCAGTTCAATATATATCAGGACATTATGAGGTTCAAGAATTTTTTTACAAACCTGGTTCTCAAGATTATTTTGATATTTTAGTAACTGCAAAAGCAACTATACAAGGTTTATTACCCGGAATCTTTGAAATTTCTTTTATTATTTCTAAAAAGTTCTAGATCCGTATGCTTTGAAAGCTTGCGAATATAAACTTACATACTTCGAGAACTTTGAAGTCAAATTGAACGTAGGCGTAAAAGAGCTTTTGAAGGTGATTTTTATATGGTTTCACAAGTTAGCAGAACTTATTGGGATTAAAGTTTACTTTTGAAGATAAATCAAAATTGTCTGCATGGATTTCCGCAGTATTTTATTGGGCCAAGCCCGGCTCAGAGTCACTCAGACTTTTCATCAATGCATAATAATCGCGAAGTCCTAGTCAATAACCGAAGAACTATAAAATATTTTATCTTATTCATACTTATAAGTACAATTTTGGTTTTTTGGGGGGTTTTGAACGTGCTATTGACTTTGTTCTTGTCTTAAAGATGTAATTGTCTACGATGATACGCCACTTTCTTCTATTATTCCTGCGTTTATCATGGCTATGTGGCCAAAAATAGATAAACATTAATATGTAAATAAGCATTCCTTGAATGTGCCAGGTCAATTATCTACGCATGTATGTTTGTAATCTCCTTTTGAATGAAATTTTTTATTTTATACTTCGTCAACCATCCCGTATGTTGTAGGCTTTCTGTTTTTTTGTGGATATTAGACACAACAGAAATATATATTTATATGTAAGCAGAGTTTGTACAAACGTTATTACCGTATTTTCGCGTAATAACGCTTATGAGTTTTGTTCGAAAATCGTGCCCCCAAAATAACGCGCCGGTGAGCGTTATTACGCAATACGGTATATAGTAATTTCAATATATGTACGATTAAAGAAGCTTGTAAATTAGTGAGCTTCTTTTAATAGCTAGAATTAGAGTAAGCAATTTTTATTTTAAAATATGGCTTAGTGTAGGCTATAGTAAAAGCTTCTTTATTGAAAATTTTCTTTTTATAAATTTACCATATATACAAACTTTATTTTACGTATTAGCTATACATATTTGATATTTATTTTGGAATTCATTATTCGAATTATTAAAGCTAATGTTTTTTTATTTTTTGTTGTGCTTCAAATTAAGGTTCAATAACTCCAATGCCACTAATACTTTGACATCAGCCTAACCCTAATAAATCTCAGTATTAATTTTTGATCTGACGCATAACATTTTTACGTTTATTTATTTAAGAACTTTGATGAGATATTATTATTCTGGATTATCAAAAATTTCAGGTATGATTGAATAATCAGGTATAGTAATCTGTAGGAGCCACTTGTTTAAGTACCACGCTATGGTAGTAGAATGAGTCTACTACATTTTTAAACTAGATCAAATAGCCGAGATCTAATTTTATCGGACTAGCACTCCCTTTTAGTGACTCATAGAACTCGTGATTTAGTGGGGGAGATTGTTATCCTTGCTGATCTAACCCCTGATTAAACTGTTATGTCATGAGGATATGAGTTACGGGTTTATTGCACCGAATGTACTGAATGTGCCACATGTGCCCATTGTGCCGTATGTTCCAAAATGGATCAAGGGATATAAGAGGTATAAGGGATATTAAGGATGTTTGTAACGGTTGGGACATTTATAGCTTAAAGAGCATATGTACTTACTAGTACCGTATAAGCGCGTAATAACGCACATGGGTGTTATTTCGAAATTTCGATTTTTTCAAAAATGCCATATTTGACTCAAAATAGCGCCCATGCGCGTCTCAAAATAACGCGCCCCTCTATATATATCATATTATCATTCAATAAAGTAGTTGAAATTTTTTTCAAAATTAGCATAATGATTCGAATTATCGCGCTTATACCAGTACGATCACATGAAATGTGTGAGGGATGGTTTGAATAATGTTTTTTGCTGTGGCCTATGCTGATTTTCG